GGGGTCATCCACCTCATCCTTCAGGGTCATTGCCACGCAGATCCCATCCCATGGATGTCAATAACATCCCGTGGTGTCTGAGCTCTCTCCGCATCCCTTCCCCACGCCGTGTCCCCGTGCCCCAGCCCACCATCGGTGCCCTCTGTGCCACAGACACGTGGCCACGCACAACCCCTGGGCAGTGCTCACCGCCCTCCTCCGCTCCCCGTCGCACCCCGGGTCCACCCCCCACTTCAAAGAGCTGGGTGACGCTGGGACCTGTTGCTAAATCATTACACAAGCTGTCCTGCCAGGTTTCCTCCCCCACCAGAAACGCAAAGGATTTCACAACCGCGTGGAATCGAGCGCATCCTCGCGCCATCGACGCGCACACTTCCCTGCCTAAATTTGGCCCTGTCATCTCTGTTCCTTCCCTGGTGGGAACAAACTCTCCCTTCCCTGCAGCATTTCTGAGCTGGGGCAGCTCGCTGTGAGCGCGGGGAGCTGAGGAGTGCGGGGATCTGCCTGGGTTGAGATGGCTGTCGGCCTCCCTGCCAGGCTCTCCAGCTGCAGAGGCACTCCCAGCTGTTGGCTGCACTGCATTTCTGGGGCTGAGCACCTCGCCTGTGAAGAAAGGCTGAAGGAGTCGGGCTTGTTCAGCCTGGAGAAGGGAAACCTCTGGGGAGACCTCACTGCGGCTTTGCAGGACCTGAAGGGAGCTTATAAACAGGGGCAGAGCGACAGTCTGATAGTGGTAGGAAATGGGGAGATGGTTTTAAACTGAAAGAGGGCAGATTTAGATTTGATGCTGGAAGGAAATTCTTTGTGGCATAAGCTTCCCAGAAAAGCTGTGGGTGCCAGGCTGTGCAGTGCCCTGGGCAGTCCAAGCTGGTGGGGGCACAGAGCTCATGGCAGGGATTGGCACTGAGGGACTTTAAGGTCCCTTCCAACCCAACCATTCGATGCTTCCACAAATTCTGGCAGCGTCACCTCCAGACACGGTGCCCCAGCCCTCCCTCCAGCCAATCCTGGGGCATCTGGCAGGACCTGAGCTGACTGCTTTTACAGGGCACCATCCAGGCTGCACTCGTGCACCCCACAGAGCCTCTGGAACGCACTCCTATGTTGTCTCAGGGGTTGGCTTCAAGGCAGTCTGGGCTCTTCTCATTTCCACACCCCAGACACAACCAAACACTGTCCCATGCTTTTTGTTTGGGCTGCAGGTGACCAGAACAACAATGAGCTTTGCAAGAAGGGTCCCAGATGTTATGCTACAGTGTGAAGCATTTCCCTCCCAGTGCCTCTCCTTCACCCTGAGCTGTGCACTGCCTGGCAGAGGGAATGGGAGAGAGGCAGCAGGAGATGGGCAGCACCTCAACCAGTTTGGTGGAGGCTCCTCGGATGAGGTGGGGACACAGGGAGATGAAAGCTGGGTGGACGCAGCAACCTGACAGCCTGATCCTCAAGGGGAGCTCAAAGCTTCTTCCGTCTCCATCATCACCATCATCATCATCATCATCATCCCCTCCCAGACGCCTCCTTGGTGCCTGCCCTGCCCCAACAGCTCGATGCTCGCTGACCAAGGCATGGTCAGAATTGTGAGATTGTTGCTCATCAGAGGTGAGGGCTGGGATGGAATGGTTTGGTAGAGGAAGGCCAGGTTAGGGAGGGGCAGAAGGAACAAGGAATATCCTCAGCCTCGATAGCGATGAGTGAGAGCACCTGCAGTTTCTGCACAGAGCATCAGGAGTGGCCTCCAGCTCACAGACATCCTGCTCTGTGTGTCCCCTTGTGTGAACTGTGTGTGCCACGTGCCATGAGCAGGGCAGCAAAAGCAGCAACCCAGGAGCCTGGGCCCATGGAGATACAGCTGGCAGCGAGGGCTGGGAGCAGAGCCTGGGATGCAGGAGGGAAGGATGGGAGAGGTCTGGGAGAGCCGTATGGGAAGGGGAGCTGAGGGACCCCACAGCTCTGTGCAGCCCCTTCATATAGGATGGTACAGACAGAGGGAACTGGATCTGCCAAGGTTAATTCCTGTGAGGGCAAAACAATTCACCACAAAAGCAGTGAAGCAGAGAAGCAGTGGGAGCTCCACCAGAGCTCAGCTGGGTAAAGTTTGGAGCAACACAGCTGGTGCTGCTTTGGGCTGAGGGTCGGCTCCTCTGTGTTAATTACTCCATCCATCTGTCACAACACACCTGAACCAAGCATTGATTTTGTTCCCAGCCGCTTTATCTTCACTGCACAAAGCTTTCTGCGCTGCTCTCTGTCAGCTGTCCTGCCTTTCTATGGAGGACTTTTCCTTCCCTTTACCACATAAGCTCCCATCCATGCTGATAGGTTTGCTAAGGGCACTGTCAGCATCTCATCCACCACCCAGAAAACAGCGCGGTGCCACGTGTGCAAGAAGCACCTTCTGATGCCCCAGGAGGGGAGAACCTTCCACAAGGGGCCGAGCGAAACTGAGGCTTTGAGCATGAGGAGAGCAGGTTTTCCTCCGGGAGGAAGGGAAACCGGGGTCCTCGCCGGGCTCGGGGAATCTCAGCATTTTGCTGGGAAATGCGCCGCATCCCCGGCTCTGCTCCGTCCTCCCTTCCGCTGAGCACCGCCGGGCAGCGGCCGAGCGAGGAGCTGCGATGCACAGCAGGGCTGCCCATCGGGGGCGGCTGCGTCGCCCCGGCGGATCTTGCAGCCATCTGCAGGAACCTTCCGCTCAGGAGCGCCTGACAAGTTGGAACAGAAAGCCCCGCACCGCTCTGGGAGCAGCATTGGGCCAGCGAGCGCTTTGATTGCGATCAGCCAGCTGGCAGGAATCCCAGGCACTCGCACAAAAATGCTTTGAAGCGGCCAGATGCACAAAGGTGTGTCCCTGCGAGCGTGTGGGGCGCGGAGCCGTGATTCACGGCATCGCCATGCGGCGCTCGGGGTGCGCACACGCAGCGCTGAAGGGCCGCGTCCCCCCCTCCCCCCCCGCTCCCCATCTGCCTGTTTTGGGGTTGAACTTTCCAACGTTCTGCCCGTCGCTCCCCAATCCCGGCTCGGGTTTTCTTTCCTTCTCGGCCTCCCCGTACCGCCGCGGTGCCTGCGAGCTCCAGACAGGGAGGCAGACAGGGAACGCGCTCCAGGCGCTTGCAGAGTAAGCTGCGCTGCACCGGGCTTGCTGGGATGACACTCACCGTGCCCTGCTAAGTAAGCATCCCCGGCCCGTGATTCAGAGCAGAAGCAACACAGAGGAGCAGCAAACTCCTTTATTTAAGTACCTTTTGCTCTTTCAGAGTCGGGTTTGGGATCTCTTGCAGAATCCTGGGAGATTCCCTCCCTTGGGCTAAACAATGCAAACTCACCCTGAAGAAACCATTGTTTCTTGAAAGCCTCTGTAAGCTCCCGTGCCTGCCCCGGCCATGCAGCCCAGCTCAGCAGTTCGGGCGGGTTATGAAACAGGGCAGATGCCGGAGCAGCATTTCTATTATCCACCAGCAAATGATGGGATGCTGTAACCGCTCTGCTCTTCCGTGCAGGGATGGGGTGAGGGCTGCTCCTCGCCGAGGGGGAAATGACATTACAGGTTTGCAAGAGCTGGGCACTTTGTTTGTGCAGAAGCCACCTGACGCTGACAGCCTGTCATTGATTTGCGAAAGCATCGATAAGAAGCTTTCAGGAGAAAGAAGTGGGGCACAGGAAAGCAACAACGCTCAGCTTTTGCTTTGCTGTTCTTTATCCAGAGAGGGAGCACAGCGGACACAGCAGAAAGTCCTTCTTGTGTTGCTTGGGCACTGTGGCCTTGGGCACAGTCTAAGACCATGGCTGTGTGACAGAGCTCGTCCCTTGGGTGAGGTGTTGGGACCCTGGGGAACCAGCAATGATTCAACTCCAGGTGCTCTTGTTCTGAGTCTCAGTGAGGGATCCAGCATCTGTGAGCTGACAGCACCAGGCCTCTGGGTGCTGTTCCCTCAAGTGATGACTGTTGGAGTTTTCTTTAGTGAGAAAACCCCATGGCACAGGAATCTGCTCCTCCTGCCCCTGTCCTGTGCTGAGGGGTCCCAAGAAGCCTCAGCTCCACGTGTCTTCCCCTTGGCCTCCCTCCTCTATCATTGCCCATGGCTGGGCAGGAGCACTGTCAGCACTGCTGTGACCTGAAATCTCACCAACTTTAAGGGGTTTGAGTTTCTGCATAGGACTCCACAGCAATGAGAAACCTCTCAGAGCCAAAACTCAATGTGTGACTCCTCATCTTGCTGCATCCTTTCGTATTCTTCTTGCAAAAAGTCCTCACTTCCTAAATGCTACCCCAAGCCGCTTGCATAGATGGCCCCAGTGCTTTGCCTGGGGGCTGTCCTGACTCATCCATGGGGGAAAGCCAGGCTGTAAGGCAGTCACTGCCAATGGCGTGACCCCTGTTGGGAAGGGGTCTCATCCCATCGGCTGGCTGCGGGGGTCCACAAAATCCCCATTAGGCACAGTGCAGATCCTGGGATCTGGAGGCTGGGTTTGCAGCTGTGCAGATAGAGGATGAAGAGGTGGACAGACAAAGTTGGGAGCATCACCCAGATCCCCAATGGAACAGGGCATGGAGTGCAGCACTGCTCCCCTGACCCTCAGTGCTGCCTCCCAGCACGGCCATCCGCACTCCCTCAGCACTGGGGCACCATTTCAACCCAACTTGCACCCAGGGGATGAAACGCCACGAGCAAGCAGTGTGGGAGACCCTCCAGCCCACCACTCCGCACCCACCCAGCAGCACCCACCCCTCTGCCATCCTCACTCCCTTTTTCCTCCAGGACTCCCCCATCCTGGAGGGCAGAGCTGGGGGTGAGGGCAGCAGAGCCGTGTGCCCTGCAGGGCCGCGAGCGGCGGCGGCGGGGAGCGTGTGGGTGTGTGCAGGCAGGGCTGTATATCCAGTCTGGCAGAGGGTGTGCCTGCTCACACGGCGGGGAGCAGAGCTGGGAGAAGGAGCCCTGAGACACGCTGGGCTTGGGGACGTATGGCAAGGAGGGGTTCGGGAGATTAACCCCAAAAAGAGACCCGGTCGCTGTGGCATTGCGTGGTGCGCGTGGTCAGGTGCAGAGCAGCTCCCCGTCCCCTGCGGTTTGCAGCCATGCTTCACTCTCCGCTGAAAACGGCGTTGGCATATGAGTGCTTCCAAGACCAGGCCAGCTCCACGCTGGCCCTGCCCTCGGATCACAAGCTGAAAACGAAGGGCACGGGAAAGCAGCGGGTCCAGGAGCAGGTGATGATGACGGTGAAGCGGCAGAAGCAGAAGTCGTCGGTGTCATCGAGCGTGGGACACTCCAACAGAGGTACCATCCCCTCTGGGGTCAGGGCAGCTGCTGTGGCTGCTTCTGCTGTGAGCTTCTGTGGGTTTTGGTTTGTGGGGGACAGAGCGGTTCGTGTCTCTCGTGGCGTACCCCCATGACCCCCACGGCTGGGAGATGCGGGGGTCTGTTGCATGGGATGGAGGATCTGCGGTGTGCGGATGGGTGCAGTGCCACAGCACAGTGGGGCTGAACTGCTCTTGTCCCCATGGCTCTGGGACATGTTGGTACACTGCTCCTATCCTTGTTCTTCCCAGCTTCAAAGCTGGAGCAGCCGCCTACAGCTCTGCTCCTCTGCAAGCATCCTGTCCTGCAGCTTCACCCCTCCTGTGTGCAGCCAGAGCTCCCAGCATCGCAGCAATGCCTGCACACAGGACACAGACCTGCGCTTGGGATGTGCCTCCAGAGCTCCCGGTGTGTCCCCGTTTGAAGGCTGGCAGCGGTGCAGTGGGGATGCTCTGCAGTCCCCTCTGTTCTGAGATGGGCAAGGCGGGGTGCAGGCACCGTGCAATTGCTCCACCTCTGTGCACAGGGCTTGTGTGAGTGCTCAGCTGTGTCCTGGAACCAGGTTTCCTACAGGAACACCTTTCTCCATGTCTCAAAGCTTGGCAAAGGATTTTTTTCACTGTTCTCATATCAGGAGAAAGCTAATTTGGAGGGCAGCCCAACTTCCACCAGTCAAGAGCTGCAAACTCAGGTGGGCGCAGCAGCCACAACAAAAATCCCCCCTGACTCGGAGCTGCTTTCACCAGCGGCTGCGGTGAGCTCACTGCTCCAGCTGGGGCAATGGGAAGAGCAAAGCCTGGGGCCTTGGGGTACAGATGGCAGCTGGAGCCGAGTCCTTCAGCTCTCCCAGAACATGGGGATGTGTTTGCAGAAAATCCAGGTGAGCTGGCGATGACAAGTTGGCAGCAGGAGGATCAGGAGGCAGAACCCAGCACTGGGGGACAGGTTTGCCAAGGCAATGTTCCCATAGGAGCCCTCCTGGATGCATGCATTGTGCTTGCAGAGATAGAGGGGATGGGGAAGCTCTGCAGGACATCTCCTGCTGCTGCTGTCCATGTGAGGAAGGCCAGGAGGCAGAGGGGGATTGTTCTGCTCGGAGAGGAACCCAGGTGAAAACTCTGGGAAAGAAATAAAGCAAAGCAAATTCCCAAGCTGCCCCATCTTTACTCAACAATCTCAACCTAAACCCATCCTCCAGACACTTCTGGGAACGTCTGGGAATGGGAATTGCGTGGAAATGTTCCACTCTGGTGTCTGCGTCCCAGGGAAGCTGAGTCACATCCCACTCCCAGCAGCTGCCTGCATTCTCACGGCAGGTTCAGGTGCCCTCCTGGTGCCCCACAGGTGGCTCAACCTGGAAGCTGCAGTGCCAGAGGGGCTCCCAGCAGGACAAGGAGTTCCCATTTATTTCTATTCTTTCTTTTAGAGCCTGAGACGGTCAGGCTGAGCTTTCAGAGCACAGCACTGAGCCACGTTGGCTTTTGCTGCTGCTGGTTCTGAGGCCATCTGAGCAGACCTAGGGAGAAGAGTTAATGTTTCTTACAAAGAGCTGCGAGGAGCCATTGGGATCTGCTAGCAGCTCTGCTCATCTGTGTCCAAAAGCTCCTCCAGCATCAGCTACATGAATCCACACGTGATTTCTCAGAGATGCTTCCCAGTAAGATGTGGGATTGGCAAAACATCCTGATAAACCTTTGAGCGCTGTTCCTTCTGCATGCAGTTCCCTGCGTGTCTCTGTTTGGGTATCAACCCAGGCCACTGCGTTTTGAGACCTGGTTTGAGCAGGAGAGCTGAGCAGAGCCTTCTGTTGCTTCAGGAATGCATGCACCCCTGCCTGTAGGGTGGGGAGCGCAGGCGTGCATCCCACTGCATGCAGCAAGGATGGGAGGTGTGGCATCCCACAGTTGGTGTTTCTGTGGAGCAGATGTTCTCTTAATATCCTGCTATCAGAATCTACCTTAAATCCACTGGCTGACTGGAGAACAAGGAGCTGTGGCCGTTGTCTGAAGGTCCTGATGTCACCCCCTGCATGCACAACCACGGGGTGTGGGCACAGCCCCAGCAGGGCAACATGACCCAAACTGGTGTGTGTGTGCTGGGCTTCTGCTCTGTGTCTGGGAACGATGCAGATTTCCATGGGAAAATGAATGTGGTGTCACAGCAGGGGAAAAGGGCAAACCAAGCTGAACTGAGTCCTCCTGGCCATCTCAACCTAATTGGGGTCATTATGTTGATGTGCACAAAGAGGTGTTTGTGACCATGAAGTGCTGGGAAGTTTTCTGTCACCTTCCCCCACTGCGAGACGATTCAGTGAAAGCTCTGCCACGAACCTTTCCAATTATTGAGCAAAGCAAAACATCCAACCCTTCAGCTCATAGGCCACAAGGCAAAAACGCCATCTGGTCACTCCTGCATGAATCTCAGCTTCTGGGGTTCCTCCAACACTTCTCTCCTAGGAGGCATCGTGCTTTGTGCTTCCCACAGGCCTTCTTCTCTTACTACTTTTTTCCTATGTTTAATCATCCTCATTGTTTTAAAGCTGTGCATGGTTTATTATTGAACCTGTCTAGCCTGCACTACCAGTGACGGGTTCTTGTCTTGCCTTTCCCTGCCACTGATTAATGTTTATTAATATGCCTCCATTGCCACAAAGCTCCCTGTTAGCTTCATGCGTCCGGCTGAAGCCTTCTGCTGTGCTCAACAAATGGCTCTCCTGACATAATTCTTCTCACCATCAGTCTTTTAGCTTTAAAAGGGTATAAAGTTGCCTTTGAAGAATGCAGATAACTCATCAAGAGGGTCCCAAAGCTCAGGCACAGCGTGCTGTAGCAAGGTCTCACTTTGCTCTGTGGTGATCACTAATAGATGACTGGTGACAGAGAGGGGGGCACAGCTGGCATGTGGTGGTGCTCACAGCATTCAAGCGAAAGCTCTTCAAGGCATAGAACCATGGCATGGTTGGGTTGGAAGGGTCCTTGCAGCCCCCCAGCCCCACCCCTGCCATGGGTTGGCTGCTCACCAGCTCAGGCTGCCCCAGACCCCATCTGTGTCCTTGGGCACCTCCAGGGTTGGGGCATCCACAGCTCTCTGGGCAACCTCTTGCATTCCCTAGCTGCTGCGGTTAGTTTTTATGCCCATGAGCTCTCTCCCTGATTTAATGGAGGTTTTAGATTGACCAGTTTTCTCTGGAGACTGTTTGTTTTTATCCCAAAGTCGCAGGACCGGTGAGCACCTCATGCGGTCTTTCTCCTTGAGGCAGTTAAGCTGAGGAATATCCCTTCTCTCCCCTCGGGCTGCTTGCACACATCCCAGCTGCCCCTCAGGAAGAATCAGGCAGAGAGCTGTGTAAACTTGCAGGACAAAGCAAAGCCACCTCCGCCATAAAATCACTGGGTTCTACCTGGCCTTCAGACCAAGCGACAAATCACAGTGCTGCGGTGGCAGGGAAGTGCCTTCTCAAACCAGCAAGGCAGCTTTGAACGTTTGAGGTTTCTATAATTATATATTTACAAGCTCTTGTATACAAGTTCTTGGAGGTGAAGGCAACTCTATGGCAACTTTGGGCTTCTCACTGCCAGTAGGATGTTGAGGGCCTGGAGAGCATCCAGAGAAGGGCAGCGATGGGTCTGCAGCACAGTGGGGTCTTACAGGGACAGGGAACTGGGGTGGTTCATTCTGGACGAGGCTCAGGGGAAACCTCATCACTCCCTGCAGCTCTTGAGAAGAGGTTGCAGCGGAGAAGTCGGCCTTTGCTCCAGGTGACAGTGATAGGATGAGAGGTGATGGCCTCAAGTCGTGCCAGGGGAGGGTCAGGCTGAGGAATGGGAGACATTTCTTCTCTAAAACAGTGGTAATGCACTGACACAGGATGGCCGGGGTGGTGGTGGGGTCACCATTCCTGGAGGGGCTCAGGAATGTAGATGCACATTGCCATGTAGATGTGCGTAAGGGACGTGGTTTAGTGGCTGTGATGGGTTGATGGTTGGGCTTGATGAACTCAGACCTCCTTTCCAGCCTTAATGATTCTACGATTCTCTATGATTCTCTCTTCAATGTCTTAAAACTACAAATGCCAAAACTGGTGTACTTGTGGTGTCTCCTTGCTCATCCCCCAAGTCTCCAGTGCTGTGCACAGCAGGAATGGATGCTGGGAAGAGCAGCGCCGTCCCGGGGAGGATTGGTCAGATTAACCCATGAGTCACACCCAGAAACGCTTTCTTCCATTTAAGGAAGCTGTTGACTCACAAACAGTGTCCGGAAATTCCAGCCTGCAGATACATTATGTTTGCACAGACTGGGAGAAGGGCTGTCAGAAGTAATTCCCAGGAAACTGTTATGGGATTGCGCTCAGGACTCCCATTGTCAGCCCTGTCCCCCGCTGAGTCACCTGGCCCAGGTTTCCCATTCTAAGCCCTGCCCGCCTTCTGCCAAAGCCCAACCCTGCATTCCTCCAGCGTTTGGTGGGACGTCATGGGGTGGCACCCAGTCGGTGCCTTTACCTCCCTTGCCATATTGGTGCCCATCTCCTTCGTCCTTACTGTGAAGTCCCGTGCAACTTGATATATAGGAAGCAATCAGGGCTGGAGAGATAATGGGCATCTTGCAGCAATGCTCTGTGAATGCTCTAACGTCTATAAATGCGGTTAAAAATGAGATCCTGTCATTTTCTGCACAAGGACACGTCTGTGCAACTGCTCTGCTGCTGCCTACCCTGCATTCCTTGAGGTTCTTCAGATGCTCCTGTTGTGTAGACGACAGAAAGAAAATCTCATTACTGCGTCTATGGGGACAATCTTCCTGAGAAAATGCAAGAATTTTTAGCCACGTACCAAATCAACATAACAGGTTCTGGATGCCTCAGGCACAGCAATAAACGAGATACGTTCTACGGGTCGGTGGCTGTAGGAGACCTGAGTGGCTTCAGGGCCTTTGTGGTAGAGCTTATCCAGTTTATCCAAGAGATGAGTCTTATCAAACAATCAGAGAGATTAGGATATTTCTGACATTACCCACCAGTCTAGGTGCATAACTTGGGACAGGTAAGTCCTGATTCTGTAGCTTGTTAGATATTCAGAGCTTTCCCTGGAAGATAATTGGAGTGTAGGGTTTGCACTTCCTCGTAACGGGACTTGGGATGCCACAATTATTGAGCAGTTTTGAAAATGAAATTCAAATGACTTTGAACCCTTTTGGACCATCAGAAGGGTGTTCAGGTGTAGTGGCAATGCTAAATCACAGCTTGATGCAGTGATGGAACACCTGGTGAGAAGGCAGGGCCAACCAGGGGAGCTCAGATGCATGCAATGTACCTAAATGACCAGAAGGGATGGACCCTGGCTTCACCTCTTCCTAGCCCTCATTTAAAGGTTGCCAGTGGAGGGAAGGGTGTTTTGTTGGAGATCCCTGTATATTTGAGGCCTTCTGAAGGTAAGCAGCTGCTTTCCTTTGTTTCTGTGTTTGTGGTTGTTGCAGTTGAGCAGGTTCTTACTTGCTGCAGTGTAGAACCTTGCTGCTCTGCTGTCATTGCTGCACTTTCCACTGCATTACATAAGGGAAATGCAGCTTAGGAAGAGGATGAATTTCTTCTAGTGCTGATCATAGCCTGTGTTTGTAAAGATGGAGTCTAACAGACTTCTGTGAAGACACAGTATGAATGGTGTGATTTGTTAGAGAGTGGGGATGGAGATTGAAGGCAGTGAAGGCTGCCCTGTCCCTGGGGATACCCAAGGTCAGGCTGGATGGGGCTCTGAGCACTGATGGAGCTGTGGGTGTCCCTGCATTGCAGGGAGTGGGGCCAGAGGGCCTTTCAGTGCCCCTTCCAACTCAAACTGTGTGATTCCAGAACAGCACCCCGTCCCTCTCATGTAAGACCTGAGGCACTGCCTGAGATCTTGACCCGCTCTGCTGTTGTCCATGGTAGATCTTATGGCACTTGGTCTTTTCTGCTGAAGGCCTTCAGGTGCCACTTACAGTCTGGGGCTGGAATTTCTAGGAGCTTTTCTGGAATGAACATCTTTGGGCTGCCTGCAAGGCAAGGGCTCAACTTACTGACTTTCTATCTTGTGCTTCCTATAGGTTTCCTAACTCCATTATTCTTCAGTGATAAGATGAAAGGATCTAAATTCACTGCGAGGAAAAGACTGGGATGGTCTGCTGCTTCCCACTCCTACTGACAGTGCTTTTTCCATTTACAGGTTCCATGTACGACTGTGTAGCTGATGGTTATGGCTACGGGACGTCCCGGGGCAGTTATTACACCAAAACCCAAATGGGAAACAGCAGCTGGGGATATCCGGTAAGATGCTTTTATCTGGGAGCTGTGGCATCCTCTTGAGGTAACCTGCACAAAACATCCTCCAGCAGGTGATGGGTGGGAAGGCACTTCAGAAGTTTCTCTGGGAGAGGTCAGGCATGGCTGTGGCTGTTCCAGCACGGATTTCAATGCAGAGGGAGAGGATCCATAGATGGAAGCAAATAGCAACAAGGTGCTGATGTCGATGCTGTATGTGGCTGGGGGTTTTACTGTGGATGAGTTTTAGTTTGGTCTCGGGGATTGATATCCCAACAGCACACAGTGTTTGCGGCTGTCTGAAGGCCATAGGTTCAGACTCGCATCTCAGTTAAGAGGTCTCACGTTAAGATCTTGGAGCGCATCATCCAAGCTGCAATTTCTATTTCTGTGCACAGAAACTTAATTGAACAAAATCAGTGCAGCTGACTGGGGATACCAGGGACTTTGCATCATAACTGTGCTGCTGTTCCTGCAGCGTATCATAGGATCCTTAGGGTTGGAGGAGACCTCTGAGGTCCACAAATCTGACCCCACTGTGCCTGCTGACCACATCCTTCAATGCCACATCTCCAGGGATGGGGACCCCACACCTCCCTGGGCAGCCAGTGCCACGGTGCAGATGTTTTTAAGGTGTTCTTTGAAACTGGAAAGGGGGTGCTTTGCTTCTCCCAGAGAACACATTGTGTTACAGCCTGTCAGAAAATGCAGGTGTAAGACTGTACTTGTCTGTGCAATCAGGGGTTATGTGCCCTATAAGGGCCTGGACACTTGGTTCACTGGGAAGCTCTCTGAGCCACTCATGTCTCCTGGGGCTGCGTGTTGCTGGTGTTGCCCCCCACCTGGGCTCTGTATTCTGCTCATCCCTGGTTTTCATCAGCTGTGAAGTAAAGAGATGCGATTCCCAGATCTGGCATTTGAATACAGGAAAAATAAAGGGCTCCTTTCAACAGCTGTGGGGCTGTAAAGCAGCTCCCTGACAACCATCAAAGGTTTGAACCAGGAAAGGTGCTTGGGTTGGCTTCAAGCACAGAGACAGAGGGCTGCAGTGTTTCCTGCTGGTTGCCAGATCCTCTGCCTGTTTACAGCATCAGCATTCCTAAGCTTCACAAAGGTTTGTCTGTCATCTGTTCTAATGGCTGTGGTGCACTTGTTTGCTTTAAGGCAGTGATAATGTCACTCAGTGGGTTGGGTGCCAATGCGTGCTCAGTGGGAAGGACTGGGAGCACTGGCACGCCTTTGAAATTTTTATTTACACTGTCTGTCAGCCTCAATGTCAGCTGTTTCAAACTCCTTTGCTGAGCTGTTTAAATCTCAGACGGTGATCTTTCACTGGTGTGAGGCCGAGTGTCCATGATGGAAAAGAGCAGAGCATCCCTGGGGCAGGCATGGACCCCCTGTGGTTGATATCCCTCCCCAGGGAGTTGTGTGAGCCCTCAGCAATGTGCAGCTGAGGGACATACCAAGCCAGAGGTGGAACCTCAGAGTCAATTATTTGTAATGTTTAAATGATTTATTGCTGTTTGTCTGTTGTGGCTCCTGAGAGAAGTGCATCGATAGGGCTTTGGGTCCAGCACTGGTGCTGCTGTGCTGGCAGATGGCTCATGTGGTCGTTGCACAGATTGGAGCCTCCAATAGACACCACAGAGCAGTTTGGTCACTTCTGGTTCACCACAGACTCGTGCAGCTCACGGCTTCTCTCTGAAGGGCTCTTTTGCACTGGTGGCCTGGGAGGGTCTCTCTCCAGAAGCACGGGTCTCAGCAGCATTGTGTTCCTGAAGTTCTTGGTGAAGGCCTTCAGATACGGGCTGAAAAAAGGAACTGGAAAAAAAAAAGGGACTGGGACTTGTGAAAGTTTCACAGTAGAATTGCTCTTACAAAATGTGGTCTATCTGAAAATCAGCCATTTTGTCTTAACAAGTTGTCTAGACTCCTCCCAGAGCCAACAGAGAGGTGCAGCATGATTCATGTGCTCTATCTTGGAGATCTGTCAGGTCAGGATGAGTCAGCCCTCTGGATGCATCTCCTGCCATGGTCGGAGCAGCCACCTAACAGGACTGCAGCTGGGGCCATGAATCCCGAGTGCCATTGGCACATGGGAACATATAACCTGCAGCCTAAATCTGCTTAACAGATGCTTAGCAGACACCATGCTCCCCAGTCACACTGGGGAACCTCTGTTTTGCTTCATCCAGAGGTGTAACAGAAGATCACACTCCCAGCCTCCAGCTTAGGTTGACTTCGTGTGAACTTAGGACTTGAAATCAGGCAGGTTCTCAGCATTTTTACAAGCATTTTCTATCTGTGATTTCTGGCTCACCAGGGGAAAGAAGATCAAGTAAATCTATTTCTGAAGATGAAGTTGCATTTCCTGCCTCGTGCTGGGGATGCTTCTGAGAAGCCCCAGAGGCCTTTGAGATGCATGGGCAAATTCAGGCATTTCAGGGAAGCAACCTAGTACAGCATCAGGGAGATTACTCTGAATTCTTTGAGAAGTGCAACAGGCCCTGTGTCCGTGCTGCTGCTTCAAAGGGCTGCAGCTTAGACACTGCTTTTATCAGTGCATTGCTTCAGATGGTGACTGTAAATGACACAGCAAGGAGATATGTCATCTGCCCTGTCTCACCCACAGCTCTTAAACACTATTATTCCCAACTTACTGCTTTTGTCTGGTTTTTTATCTTGTTGGGAATCTCAAGCTTTTGCTTCTGAGTTTTCTTCCCTTATGAGCTGCTGGTGTTCCTGTACCAGAGCAATAGAAATGACAGACCTGAAGGGAAGAGCTTCCTAAAGCTGATGGCAGCTCTCTGGATTGGTAAAGAGCTATGGGTAAAACCTCTGATTTGCCCATAGTTAGAGGTTTTTTCCTGATTATTCTTATGGTGAGTGCCTTGTTGGTGGCACTGCAGGAGCACAGCACTGTGATGTAACAGTCTGGGTAACAGAGCTGGACCCAGCACATGCTGCACAGTTTCGTTGCCTCACAAGTCAGGGATTGGCTCAGCCTTCAGGGACGAAGCCCTCAGTCCCATTCTGTAGGCTCATGGAGGTTGGGAAGGACCTCTGAGATCCCCAAGTCCACCCCACCATGCCCACGGACCACATCCCTTGGTGCCACATCTCCATGTTCCTTGATTGCTCCTGGGGATGGGGACTCCTCCACCTCCCTGGCAGCCTTGTTTTGCCCAGTGGCCGTGGTGGGATGCAGCAGCGGGCACACCAGTGGCTGCAGATCAATGTGTTGGGTGATATTTTGTGCTAACTGTGGGCCAGGTGCAGTTGAGCTCACCAGACCCATGGAGACCTTCGTCCCCATGCAATTTGTATTGCGAGTGGCCACCTGCTCCCAAAGCCATCGGTGCAGGATCTGTGCCAGGGCATGGTGGTGTAAAGCCAGAGCACTGCCTGAGGACCCCCAAAATGGGATTTGTTCAGCACCGGGCTCAAAGCTGCTGTCACAGTCTGGTGGCCCACGAGTTGCAGCAAGTGTGCTGTCTGCCCAAGTGCAGGTGCAGCTTTGGAGGTGTTCAGCCAGAGTCTGAGGAGGGGAACTCCATGGAAAAGCAAAAGGTGGGGCCACGATCGTGCCATTGTACTGCACATCACTGCTTAGTCAGACCCTGCTTTCCCTGAGAGGTTTTGCAAGAGGCTTTGTGCTTTGGAGGAGCTATCTGAACCATCGGGAGCGAAAGCTGAGCTGCACAAAGAACCAGATGAAAAGGCAGCATTCAGGAGAGGCGGGGAAGAGCGTTTCAGAAATGGATTAACAATATATTCGCTGGTTTTGCAATTTTTCTCCCTGCAATGGAGAGCTGGTAGCAGGCAGCAGTGAAAGCATTTCGCAAGGAGCATCAGGATCTTTCCCCACCCATCATTCAGGGTGGGACGCGGTCATGTTGCATTGCCTGTGCTTTGCCCTGCAGCCTGGGAGAAGCTGCTCCTGACGTGTTTATTCGGAGTCCTTTACTTCTCTCTGTCTGCAGCTCTAGAAACAAACAAATTGCAAGGGAAAGAATTAGAGCTGGGTAATGAACTGATCGCGTCCTCAGATGCAGGAGTCAGAAACACCCAGTTATCTGGGAGGGAAGAAGTGCTGAGATCTGAGCACAGGGCTGTGCTGGGCAAGCCCTCCTCTGTGCTCCTCAAACAGGGATTTTGGAGGAAAAAGAAGAGCCCAACAAAGCCGTTGTGACTTCCTCTCCAGCGCCTTTTTTTTTTTTTTCTTCTGGTTGGGATAAGAAGTTAAAGATATCTATTCACTGGTGGCAGTGCTGGATGTTACAGTCATTGTTCCTTAAGAGGTCGGGTAATTTAGTCCCAGTGCTCCACACACAGTTGCTAATTTTGAGGCAGGTCTTTGCTGCTGGCAGTGAGGGGAAGCACTTAGTGCCCAGGCCTGATAAGAGCACCTGTGTGCTATCAGTGCTCATCTTTGCTCCCTTTCCTCCCCTCCTAGTTTTAATATGAATGAGCAGCTCCCAAGGCTTGGCCTCAAACACACAGGCTCCTTTAGAAGAGCATGCTCACAGCTGGGACACTGCATGTGAGCATCCCATATCCCTGCAGAGCACCAGGGAGAAGACGTGGTGACAGTCCCTGCTCTTCTGAGGTGGTTCCAAACTCCTGCAGGGTAGGTGGGATCGCTGTGCTGCCTCCAGCCCCGTGTGGGGGAATCCCTGCCCTTCTGCACTGCTTCTTCCCACTGCTAAGGGTGTGAGATGTGGAGCTGACCCACATGGCCACCACTAATGGGATGCAGGGTGTCAGGAAATCTGGGTGGCTGAGGGGGTCTGAAGGTGAGAGTGATGATCTCCTTTCACTAATGCCATTCTGCACAGGGAGAGCTCACTCTGAACTCACAGCAGAAGTTTGGGGGTGGCTGCCAAGCAGCTCTCCCAACCACATCTGTGTGATGGCATCACCTTTACAAGTGACATCTCCTCTCCAGACAGCAGTGCCTCCCTCCTGCTTTGCTCTGCTCCCTATCTCCCTGATTGCTGTGTCCAACAAAGAGGCAACGTGAGGAGCTCTGTTCCATTGCAGCCTTTGCTCTGAGGTGAAGGTCTCTGGCTTTCCTTGGGGACCATTTTCCATGGGGACATGGTGCTGCTCCTAAGGAGCAGAGGTGACGTTCTGCCGAGATCAAGGAGCGATGGGGTTGGCTGTGGGTTTGTAGGGACTTTTTGGCAAGCAGCTCCAAAATCCGCTGGAGCTGGCGGGAGGCTCCTCATCGATTTGGAGGCTTTGGATCAGTCTCCTGCTGCAAAGAGGAACTCTAAGATACCAATTAGGTCCGTGCCACTTGAAAGAGATTAAAATGGGCTCAGCCAAGCATCTGGTAGCATCAGCAATAAAAGTCATGCACTGACTTTGGTAATGAGCTTCACATCACACGGGAACTATTTTCCCATGAGTTTGCAAAAGGCCTCCCCGCCCTGCCAGGACCTGCACTGACTTGCTGCTCAGGGCTCCCTGCGTTGCAGAAAGAAGACTTTCCAAACAGGCGGCCGCTTTGCTGCGCCCTTCCCAGGGCTGGCAGGAAGGAGAACAATGTTCTGCTCTGCTCTGAAACGCAGCAGGAAATACAGAAGGGATGATTCCCACCTATAAACATGGACGTGCTCACGCCTTCCCTCGCTCTGCTGGCGGAGCGCCCATCCGAGCACACTGGGAAGCAAACAATAGCTGTAGATAAATGAAGAGCTGGCACTTCCATGGTTAGCTGAATTGGCTTTGGTAAATGCCCAGGGGCTCTGTGGCTGTGCCAAGCTTCTGACAGCCCTCTAAAATAATCCTGGCTTACAGTGACTCATAAAGCAATGTGATGGGGCTCATGTCCAAAGGCTGCTGCTCCAGCCTGCCAGCGGCAAGCTCTGCCAGTGGGTTCCCCAGGAGCCACCCCACACTGTCATGTATTGGCCATGTCCACTGTCATTGTCCTGAGGGTTCCACAGGATATTCCAAGTTGGATGGGACCCATAAGGATCGTTGAGTGCAACTCCTGTGTTCCATCAGGGAGCAGCTGGAAAAATGGAACAGAATGAGGACGGTGTCACCCTTAGAAAGACGTCCTCATTTTGGTGGGTCAGATCCTTACTGAAAGGTCCCTCATTGCCAAAGTGGACCTGGGTGCTGAGCACCTCTGCTGCATGGCCACCCTGATTGTTTCCATGGGGCTGCCCCACTGCCAGGGGAGACCCAAGACTCACTGTGCTCAGCTATGTGCCTCATCCTCCCTCTTCTTATTGCATGCAAATTCTTCTTCCAAACCCCTGGGATCACCGTAGGGTGCACCCAGCCTGCTGCCTGCCATGTTGCAGCACTAACAGGTTTTTTCTGCGTCCTCTGGAGTAAATGCAAAGAGAATTTTCTCCCCTTCCAGCAGTTTACCTGTTTAGATGTAAACCTGCAGAGTGAAAGTATCTCAAGTCCTGCTTTGTGCTCAAGTGGCAGAGCAAAGTGGGTCCAGCGTAACTGGATGAGAGGGTTTCTTCTTCTGCCTCTTGACCCGTTCTGAATGCTTCCAGCCGTTACCTGTGCAGCTCTCCAGGATGCAGCAGAGAGGATTCACTGCATTCCTGAAGATCAGTTTCTTAATGGAATTATTTGGCTTAATTAATTAGCATAATGACAATCCTGCTGAGTGTTGGAGAGAGAAATGATGCTGAGCGTGCTCAGGGCTGGGATGAATTGGGGCAGAGCAGCAGGATTTGGGGTGATGCTGCACAGGAGACCAAGTTCTCTTTTGCATGCTTTTTCTATGTTAGAAAATATTGGTTTGGTTTGGTTTTTTTCTTCAGACAGGCACAGCTGTGGACCTTTGCACCGTGGGCTGTCCTCACCAAGTGCCAGTAATTTCCTTGAGTGAACCCAAGGGGGATGAGGCAGGCCTTTGGGATGGGAAGGTCTCTGGCACCAAATCCATCAGTTCCCTTTATTCCTGTTTACTCTATTTCTTGGAGTGCTGATCACCAGAATGCTGAGCGGAACACACCTGGTCACAAATAAGATTCTTGGCATGATGAGATTCATGAATTCCATCTTTCCATTTTCTCATTCCCATTACTCCCCTCCTAAGGAACTTGCAGGCAGAAGGGAACCAAATACCGTAAGGAAATTAAAAATAAGTATGGGCAGTGCTGGAAGGCCAGAATGGTTCAACGTTCTCTGTGATGAAAAGTGATGTAATCTCTCACAAGGAGGAAGATCTTTGCCTCCTGTTCTTCCAAGCTGGGATCGAGGCACTTGCTGTATGGCAGGGTTGTGCTGGAACTTTAACTTCTGACTCCAAGCACTTGGTTACCAAATCCTGATCACTGCATCCCCAGATTTCAGGAAAGGGTTTGGAATCTTTGTAAGGGCTGCTGGTAGGCTGTGCTGCCATATATTTTGATGGTTGTACTGTGCTTGGCCCACAAACACGTCATGACTTGTGATGAAATTGAGGTATGCAGCATGCAGACCCCTCATGGGGTCTGTGCTTTAAATCAGCTCAGGTGCTGTGTGGGTTTGCTTTGGGTTGAGTGTTTCTTTGCAAAGAATTTGGGTCTGGTCTTCCTTCCTCGTGCAGGACACAAAGGCTTTAAGGTCTCTTCCAGCCCGAGCCATTCCATGATTCCAGACTTTATGGTTTGATGACTGGTTGGATTAGATGATCCTTATGGATCCCCTTCCAACTTGGGATATTCAGTGATTCTATGATTCGGTAGTTCTACGACTCCATGATTCTATGGCTAGGAGACCAGGTCACAGAAATACCTCAGAGGCACAGGAATGTAATACTGTAATACCCAGGTGTGAGTGGGGCTCGGCAACGTCGACCTCCAGCTCAACCTTTCCTAATTTGTGCTGTCTCCTGTTTTCTTGTTGCCCAGCTGTACAACGGGACCCTGAAGCGGGATGCTGAGAACCGGCGCTACAGCTCCTACAGCCAGATGGAGGGCTGGGGCAGCAAGCACTACAGCAAGGCAGTCTGCAGCCCCAACAGGGCCGGCAGCGACTACTGCTTTGTGCAGAACATCAAGAGCAGCCGGAGCGAGCCCGACCTCTACTGCGAACCACCGCGGGGCACACTGAGGAAGAGTCAGGCCGGGGGTCGGGCAGAGCACAAGGCAACCTTGAACCGCCAGAGCATCTACAGCAGCTGTAGCACCCAGCAAGGAACTACCAGGACAAGTAAAAAAATGCCTGCACGGGCCCTCTCCTGCCCCTCCAGCAACAAACCCGATGTGGTCTATGCCCAGCCCATGATGAGCTGCAAGCAGGATGCGGTTTATGGACAGGCTCAGTCTGGCTCCAAGTAAGTCTGCTGCAGTGGGATGGATCTGGGTAAATGCTGATGTTGCTTCGGAGGTTTGTCCGTCTGAGTTTGTCACCTGAGCTGCTTAATAGCCACTGGAGATCTGTTGACAAGCGTGCGGTGTGCTTAATCGCATCCTGCAGTGGCATCTAAAGTGGGTCAGATGAGTCATGCTCAGAGGGCTTATTTCTCTTTATGGACTATGGAGAGAGACCAACGTGGCTGGTTCAGTGCAGATGTCTCTGCTGTAGCTGTGCGATATTGGGCAAGATGCTGCCTGGTGCCTCTGCAGTGGTTTTAGCTGTCAGCTCCTTTGCAAGATGAGGGTGGGGATGTGAAGAGCAAAAAGGGCTGGTGTGCAGTCTGGGTGTCTCTCCTGGCTGTCACCCTGCTCTGCTTTGGCAGAGAACCAACCTTAAAAAAAAACAACAGCTGAAGGAGTTTGTTCCTGAGGGTCTGACTCAGGGCAGAGCTGAGAACCTGGGAGCAGTCATGTTTCCCTTCTGCCTTCCCACCCAGCCTTGTTTCTTTCCTCCAGTTCAGGTTCCAGAAAAAAAAACAAAACCAACACTTGAGTCAGAAGTTAGAAGAAAAAAAAAAGCCTAATTGGAATAACTGATAAAGCTAAGACAAATTGGAAGCTATTCCTTTTCCTTTCTGTCCAGAGCATCTAGTCCCATTGAACTAGGAATTATGCAGTGGTCAGGATTGTCTTCCATGTCCCATTCAGCACCAGGTTCCTTCTTGTAAATGTTGCTGCAACAAGAGCACAGCAGTGAGCTCAGACACCCCCAAGCTGATGTATCTGCACTGCAGCAGAGCTGTCACAGAAACAAAAACTTTGGGGGCTTTGATGGCATTGAAGTGATGCTTATTTAAGAGCTGCCCTGATGCGAGTGGCTGCGGTGCCTCCAGCTTTCGAGCACAAGCCGTGTTCTGCTGCTCACAGCAGCCTTGGAGGGTATCTTGTGATGCTTTATCAGGCTAGAGAAGGTCTGCATCTTCAGGGGCTGCTGCATCACTGTCCAGCAGTGCCTGCCCTACCCAGGACTCATCTCACCTCCCATGCAGGAACTGGAACCTTTTGAGCTCATTTCTGGTGCTCCCTGTTGCCCTGGGGAGTTTGCTCACTGTTGGACATAATGTGAGGCTGCTTAACTGAGAGCATTGCCTCGGTGTAGCTCACACCACACAGGGATATTTATTGAGCTTCTGACCCAAATGTGTTATAGTTATGGAGAAAATCCCCTCCTGCAGTTGGCAGTGCCCACATGGTGCCCTTGTTCACGCTGGAATGCTGGGTTAATTCTCTGCTCAACCTCCTTCATTTTGCATTGGGTAGGGGAATAAGCACTGGAGTGTGTTTGCCAAGAAGTGTTATTTGCCCATTAATTAACGTGTGGTCAGGAAACCTTGTCCTCCTGTGTGCCCAGTTCCCTTCAATCCGACACATGCAAAACCAGCCCTGGCCAACCCAGAGCACCAGTGGCATTGGCTTGCTCTATCCAGAAGCTTTGTAATTCTTCTGGATTGGGAAACAGAAGCATTCCATAAATGACAAGCAACTCGTCCTAGGGAATTTCTGTCTAAAGACCATGAAAATGTCGTGGGAGGGACGGCAGAGAGACGAATTGCAGGACAGCAGTCGGCTCCTGCCCTGGGAAGGTGTCTGCTGGTGCTCATCCCATGCAGGCAGGCTTCTCTGGGGCATCCCAGCATCACACTGCACAGCCCTCGGGTTGCAGACTTGGTCGTTTCTTTGCAAAAGTCACTTGAGGAATAATGGTGCTTATGGAGGAGAGCTGCTGGTGCGGGAGGAATGCTCTGCAGCGCTGGATGCCCTCTGGCTGGGGAGTGGCTCCGTTTAGACAGTTCTCCTGGCTTGGGGCATGGCTCATCTGGCAGAACTGGTTCTGGTGTGGAAATGAGGGCTTCAGCCCTCGGCTCAATGGGGGCTGTGCCCCCTGAGTAAATCTGATTGGGCTGGGGCACACACCCTGCTTGTGTGAGACTGCACTGCTGGCTGCCTTATAGGAGGAGAGGCTGTCAGCTGTCATCTTTGGAATTCTGGAAGCGTGCTCAGGAGTTGTCCTCTTTGAACAGATGATCTACCTGGAAAGCCATTTGCCTGCATAGAGTATCTGGAAGGTTGCAGTTAGCCTTGGTCTGGAGCGTGCTGTTGTCCTTGGAGATGGGTTGGGACCGTATCTGGGCTCTGCTGTGCAGGACTTCTCTGGCTGGAGGACTCTGCATTTTGAGAGCTCAGCCTGGATTTGGGTAGCCTGGTCTTTGGGAAGGGAGAAGTTTGCTTGTAGATACCCCATCGTTAACCTCTAGATGCAGGAGGAAGGTTTAGCTGGGCAACAGGTGCCAGCAAGTCCCTGTTTGAGGCTCTGGACTTCATATTCTAGTAGATCTTCAGGCAGAGGTTTTGCCTTTATAGCAAACATGGTTTTGTGTTCAGCTTTCACAATAGAAAGTTTCCACACCCGCCTGGCTCACCGCATAGTGATAACAAAAGCAGTAATAAAAGATGTGATGTTTCATGTAGCTCAGAAAAATCTGAGCCTTTCTCCTTCTCCAGCTGGACCTGGAAGCACAGGAAAACTATTTTGTTGTTTAGGCTCTGTTCTGCAGACGTGTTGCCATCAAGTGTTTGGACATCAGATGGGACCAGGCTCAGAGGATTGGGGTCTTTCGGGAGACCTGGAAACGTGTCATATTTTGGTGCTACTCTGATAAGGGCGTTGGGTACCTGCTGGTGGCTATGGCTGAAGTGCAGGGACAGTTGCTGTATGTCCTGGAACATGGATCCCCAGGCAGAAGTTCAGTCCCTCTGGAAGTATTCTGAGCAGTAAAAGCACAGAACGGTTATTGAGAGTCAGAGAAGGTGGCAGAGGTGTTTTCTGATAGACCTCCTCTCTTCTGGGATAAGCCCAAGGAGATCAGTATCAAAACATAAACTCCCCAGGGCTGTGCCACACAATGAAAGCAGATGCATATAAAAAGACAGACATCTTGGTTTCGTTTTGCACTTATATGGGCAAGCTACCTCTAAAAATGACCATTTCAGTGTTGGCTCTGTGTTATGTGAAGCTGTCTGCATGGCGCATTTGCATCCAAAGCAAACTGGGGTTGCTGCAGTGCTGCCTGGCTCTGGAGGGCTGGGATGTGCTGAGGTCACTCGAGGTTTTGAGTGGCTTCACTCTCATTTGGTTAATGAACAGTGGCATTTGTGAGGCTTTTCTAGCTTCCTCCCCTCCTAGGACTTGTAGACTTAACAGACAGCTTGGAGGCTTAGATCCAATTAGCACAAACTAATCTGCTAATACACAGTGACCCAAAGGCATCAGTATCAAACTAGAGAGTTTGCCTTTCCGTGATAGTGATCCTCAGAAGTATTTGTTTCTCTTCCTCACCTGGATCTGATCATCTAATTTGACTCCTTGAATCATTGCTAATTGAGGTCTCCCTGTTCTGATTGCTTCTTCCTTGTGGAAGAACAGCCTTCAGAGCTCTTCCTACCAGGAGCATTGGCCCAGGCTGGAGATGGCCTTACTTCAAGAATTTGTCTTGGAACAAACTGTAGCTCTGATGCTGTTGATCTGGTTATGGAATGTCCTTGACTGATGAACAATCTCCTATATTGTGGGCCTTGCCAGGTGCTTATGTTCTCAGCTGGGAGAAACCACTGCTTCTTCTGAGGCACGTGGGAGAGCCAGATGCTCTGTGAATTTCTCTTGTCAGTGAGCCAGAAGAGGAAATGGAGCTTTTCCCTTCTTTTCCCATGCAGAACTGGATGTGGCTGCCCAGTTTTCCCTGCTGAAGAAGGGCTTGGACATTTTATGAGTGGATGTGCAGGAAATACTCTTCCTTGGATCACTAACGAACCAGGCACCCTTCTTTCTCACAGAAATTACTTCTGGCTTAGGGTTCTGCTTAGCTTGGAAAACAGAGTTATCAACACCACTGCTGTGGTTACATGTGCTGCATGGCACTGACCTGGTATGTCTGCTCATGTGCTCCCTCCCTGTCCTGCTGGCCCAGGTCAGGTTCCCAAAGAAGTTCCTCTGGTGCCACTCATGCTGGACCTGATCTCATCCCAGCTCTGTTGTGTCTCACAGAACGTAGGATAGAGTTCCTAGTTTAAACTTCTTTCCAGTTCTGCATTTCCTTGTCTCAAGTGAAATGGAAGTCTCTTGGAGCCAAGTTCTGATGGAGATTCAAATGAAGACAAAGCATATGATGAAGTGATGCTTTACTCAGTGCAGAAATAGAATGTTGTTCATCCAACCTCAGATGCTGTGCTCTTAATGTCCAGTACATGATCGCCATCAGCAGAGGCAGAGATACCTCCAGGGTCAGATCTTCCTGTCTTAGGGTAAATGGTGAGCACACAGAAGCAGATTATTCTATTTCTCTCCACTGACTGCAAGGGGGCTTAAATGAGGACTTTCCACTGGGTGCAATTTCACGTGCAGTCTTTCATTATGCCTTGCTGTGCACAGCATGATTGTTGGCTTTTGATTTTTTGTATGAAATTTGCTGTAGAATTGTGGAGATGGTTCGCTGGTGCTGTGGGGGGGTGAGGCTTCTTATATCTGAGGAGGAATTATTTTATCTAATTGTAAGCTCCCGGAGGTGGCGAACTTCTCTGGGTGTCCTTTATAGAGCTGTGTTCTTACATTTCTTTGGAACAATCAAACCTATTCTGCATACCCTGTGCCTCCAAAAGGTCACACTGCACTCTCACAGCAATATTTAATACCTTAAATATAAGGTTCATTTCAAGATCTTATTAAAAATCCTCTTTTATTAGAGGCTGTGGGATTGTTTGGTGTTGTCAACCCATCCCAGCCAAGTTCCCACACTCTTTCATTCACTGCTAACAAAATATTTCCCATTTGTATCCTGTCACCAGTGAGGCAGTAATAACCAACTGGGAGCTCTGGGTTTGGCTTCTGTTGGTCCTGAATGTTTTGTGGCCATTCCACAGTCAGGAGCGCTGCGTTCCAGAGCCCCTTCATCAGCATGAAAGTTGATACGTATTTCTGACTTTACAGAGTTAAAACATCAGGGACAAACATCAGCAATGGTGAATAAATACAAGCCAAAGAGAGCAAGGCTTGATATTTCTTAACAAGTCTTCAGGGGTTTATACCCAAGGTTCCAGTCCTGCTCCAACCCAGGGGTGCACAGCCCTCCTCCAGACTGTGTGCAGATTCCTTGCATGGTGGATGATGAACAGCTTTTCTGGAGGGCTTGGAGACTGCCAACAGAAGCTCACCCCCCTGTTGCATTGCCTCCTACACCCTCCCAGTGCTGTTAGCAGCATCTCATGAGCTCAGTGGCTGTCCATCCCATGGCTTCAGACGTGCCTGTCTCCTTTTCCTAAGGGATCTGCCCTCACCTTCCGAGACCATCAGCTGCTCTCACATTTTTGCTTCCACCACATCTCACATCAAAGGATTAAATGCTGTGGGAAAAGCCTCTGCCTCCTTCAGATTGTCCTAATAACCTGATGGATGGTTTCATTCCTGTCCACTAATTCTTCTATGTGAACAACAGCGAGCACTGGTTCTCTGTTCCCTAATCCTTCCTAATCCTTCCACCTTAGACATAATTAGACACCAACCAAGATTTTGTCTCTTCTGCTTTGCTGATGGAGTGGATCCATAGTCCATTAGCCCTGGTGACCTGCTGTATCTTTTCCTCCTTTATCATCTCTCTTCTGAGTCTGAGCGATGCTGTAGGGCCGCACAATGTTTTTGTATGTGAAGTGATGATTTTTGGCTTTCTGTGCTTCTTTCCTTCCTAATAACCCCCAGTACTAAAGTAGCCTATTTGGCTGAGAACTCAATCAATGCTGCTTTTCTCTTTGACACAGAATATGTGGTGATGAGATAGATGGTGGCACAATGACCATCCAGAAAGCCATACAGCTCCTGTGCTCCTCTGATGACAAATACCAGGCCATGGGGGCTTATTACCTCCAGCACACCTGCTTCCAGGATGAGTCTGCCAAACAAGAGGTGAGCAAACTCCTTCAGAGCTTACTGGATGTGATGGCACGTGGGATGGGCAAAATTGGTGTATCTCAATAGCAAGAATCTGTAGGCTGGCTTGATGGAGACTCAAACAACATCAGTCCACACAGGAATAACTTAAGTGGGTTTTTCACCTTTTAGTGGCCACTTTCTGCTATTAGAGGGCAGGTCAGTATCTTAGCACAGGGGAATAGTTACCAAGCAGCAGAGACTCTGACCATGTTATCACCCCAACCCGCTGTGGTGCAGATTGAAGGGATATGCATGGGAGCAGCCACCCAAACATGGTGTTCTGGATGGCACTGCACCCGGTTCCATGCGAATGTCCTGCTCTCTCAGTGTCAGAACCACAAAAATTGCACCAGATCCCACTGTGTTGCTCCCTGTGCATTGCTCAATGCCATTTCAGCCACTCATCGAAGCCAATGGGTTTATTAGCAATACATACAAGGCAGTTTATCCCCATCCTGACTGTGTCTGCAGCCATGGCAGTGTGGTCTTCTCAAAGCAGCACCCACACACAGGCAGATTTCAGTGCTCTGGAGCAGCAGTGGAGCTGGCAATGTGCAGATATGCCCCTGTGCCCACAGTGCAGCTGAGCTGAGCGTGGGGACCCCATTCCACAGTGCAGTCACTAATTGCAGGGCAGCCACACCCTTGGTTACCGTTGAAAACACTGAACCTGTCCCATCACTTCCCAGAAAGATGTGTTGGAGCAGGTAGATGAGTCATCCCAGTGCGTGCTTTTTTTTTGGGTTTGGTTTTTTTTTTGTTTGTTTTTGTTGTTTTTTTTTTTTCTTTTTAAAATGCACTCATTCATTTTCTGCTGTCAGCAGATCTCCAACCAAAAGTTTTGTGTGTCCAAGGAGGCTCCATGTGGCTTTCGTCCCCAGCTGATCTGGCACAGGGAGAATCCTTCAGCTGGAGCTTTGGAGGGATGTGAAGGGATGTGCTCTGCCTTCACACCTCCCCTGCACTTGTGTGTTGTCCTGGAAGTTGGGATTCCCTGGGTCCATCCATGCCTGTCCCTCTTCATACTGAGCATGGCCCACTGACCTCCAGGGTGTTCACCTTCTACCCTGACCTTCTCAGACCATCCTGTGATTTCAGGATGCAGATAAGTCCCTGTGTCATGTCATTACACCAGTATGGCTGGCCATACACGGCTATGTATAGGCAGAGCAACGTTTTTGCTCGGTGTAAACTTACGGAGATAGGAAAAGTTTACATTAACATCAACCAAGGCTTCCTCACGGGGCTGTTACCCATAGGCATCCAGTTCTGAGCTGTAACCTGGTGCCACCTGTGGGCTCTGGCCTGCCCTCCCTGCCAGGTCTCCTTGCCAGCCCCATCAGCAGGCAGCACAGTGACTCCTTGCATCACGCTGACAGCTGTAGTTGTCCTGCTGGTGATGCTCTGTGCACCACCCTGATGTCAGCACATCTTTCCCTGTCCAGGTCTATCGGCTCGGGGGAATTGCCAAGCTGGTGGAGCTGCTGCGCAGCACGAACCAAAACGTACAGCGGGCGGCAGCCGGAGCCCTCCGGAATTTGGTCTTCAGGAATCCAACCAACAAGATAGAAACCCGGCGGCAGAACGGGATAAGGGAGTGTGTGAGCCTCCTGAGGAGGACGGGGAACACCGAAATTCAGAAGCAACTGACAGGTACACAGAGCCCCATAGCTGGTGTCAGCCCAACTCTCATAGCAGTGGCCTCGTGCCCCCCAAGCGATCACCCCCCTCTCTACATTTGTCCACATTGCCTGACGCACAGAAGGCCATACTGGAAAGGGGATGTTTTGTGCTTCTATTGCTTGAAATCGTGACCGAAGTTACGAGGCAGGGGAAGTCCTGGCTCTTTGGTGTCCCATGGGGTTTCCCCAGATTGCAATTGCCCATTGGGGTTGTTTCTATCTCAGGTTTCTCTGTGTTTGCTGGGACACTCTCTTGTTTTCCTGCACCCTGTTGGCTATCTGGTTGGTGTCTCATCTTTTCTTGAAGCATTGATGCAAGTTTGTTGGTGCAGGTCACCTTCAGCTCTGCCTGAGGCCTTGTGTGCAAACCTTCACAAGATTCCTGGAGAAATGCTTTCCTCCTGCAACCTAATAGCAGGAAACACCAATTCTGGGAGGAGAGACAATGCTTAGGTGCACATCTCCAGATGATACTGTGTTCCTGTTGCCCATCTCCTATAGGGATAGGCAAAGACTCGAGCTTATCTCCATCTCCTTCCTAGGTCTGCTCTGGAACCTCTCCTCCACTGATGAATTAAAAGAGGAGTTGATACAGGAGGCCCTCCCCGTCTTGACAGACTGTGTTATCATCCCTTTCTCTGGCTGGTCCGATGGTGGCTGCAACAGGACAAGGGAAATTATCGACCCCGAAGTATTCTTCAATGCCACAGGGTGCTTGAGGTGAGTCGGCACACGGGGCCGTACTGAATTCTCTACTTGGGCAAAACAAACATTTCCCCACTCATTTTAATAACTGTTTTGGCACAGCACAGTCCCACTGCACTGGGCTGTGCCCGGCAGCCCTGACCCGGCAGCTCGTAGTGCATTGGCCTGCTTGTCAGATGGGTCACCCACAAAGAGGAGGAGCAGGCTGAGCCCAGAGCAGCTCCCTTTTCCGCACCAGAACCAGAGCTCTTGTGCAGAGGATCTCCGTCCTGACTTGCTGTTTCTCCTACCGCCCTCCTCCACTTGGATGCGAGCTCCTTGTCTCACTGGGAACAAGTGGGGAAAAAAAAAACCAACCCTGTATAATTAGGTACTTTCATCAACTGAAGCTCTCCCCGAGGGAGCTTAGTGCCGACCGCACCCTTAGCAGACATGCAGCCAGCAGGAGCCGTATCTGCCTGTGAAACAAAATGGTTGAATGCAGCATGGGCCCTTGGAGACACGATGCTATCGTCCTCTGCAGCTGGGAACCGGGTCTGAAAGGCAGCCTTCCCCTGCAACTGCATTTAAGACAATCCCAACCCGACATGCTGCCACAAAATAAGTCATTAAAATAAGGGAAGAAGAGTATGGTGGTAGTGTAAAAGGAGCTTTCCATGGAGTGTAACTCCAGCTAGGCTCTCTCTTGGGGATGCAGTTGGAGGCAGGGATATCCAGCAGCGAGTTGTGCTGGGCTGCAGGGTGGTCAGGAGCTCAGTGGGGCTGCAGGAGAGCAGGACGGTCAGGCTGGGAGCCCCCACTCATCTGACTCACAGCACTGCCACATCATAGGGATGTGGCATGCACGGGGATGAGAAGAGCCTTGGGTTTGCCCTGGGCTCAAGCCATTGCTGCTCAAGAATTTCTGGATTGCAGATGAATTCATGTTAATGAAGAGGCTGCAAATCACAGCAAACATCAAATCCAGTTCTGGAACGCCTGGAGTGAATATCTCACAATGACTGCCAACCTCTCTTTGTTTTTCATTTGCAAGCTACAAGCCAATAAAACAGGGAAGGAAAAAACAAAAAAAAAGAAGCAAAAATAGCAAAAAAAAAAAAAAAAAAAAGCCAAAAGTCATTTCCTGTAGTGGAAAAACTCCCCTATCCTGGCAGCAGCCTGGCAGTGTGCTCAGGGATGCATTACAACCTGGTCAGTCCCACTGCTGCTCTTCAGCACGTCTGCCCCCATCTCTCTAAGCATTGATTGAGACCCTTTGCAGATCCACTCTTACAACCAATTGCATCTTCCTGCTTTTCCCAAGAATAACAGATAGTCTTTACTCCATCTTCTTGTTTTATCAAACACACCTCCAAGGAGGCAATCAGCCTACAGAGCATCACTGTGTGTCTCTAAGGCCAAATACTGCTGATCTAGGAATACATCTTCTACGCAAAATTCCTTAGGAGGAATTTTCTCAGATGAAACCAATCCAGATGAGCAACATGGGTGCTCAGCACAAGAGTGATCCTATAGAAGGCCTCCAGTGTGAGAGCCTTGATCAATCTCCAAAAAAGCCCAGCAAGTTAATTCAGCCAGCACCATGCCAAGGTCTCTTGATAGAGATTAGAGAAATCCAACTAACCCTCTCCCCTCCTTCTCTCCTGACTTGCTCTGCAATGACTTTCTTCAGAAACCTCAGTTCTGCAGACATGGGACGTCAGACCATGCGAAATTACCCTGGCTTGATTGATTCTGTCATGACCTACGCCCAGAACTGCGTGGCTTCCAACCGACCTGATGACAAGGTACCAGCTGCTGCTCCACAGCTCTTTACTACTGTTCATCCCCATAGTTAATAACTGCAGTTTTGGGAGTAGCTCCAAAATCCTATCAAGCAAGCCTGAAAGGGGATGGGACTCTTTGTGGCTGCTCTTCCCCTACCAAACATGCAGTATAACTTTTAAAAATATAGCTATGGCATGGCATGTGTCCTCATGCAGCTACATGCAGTGCTGCTTTGTGTTTCCACCAAATGTGACACTTGCATTTTTGTTCTGGGGGTGATTTCAGTCTGTGGAGAACTGCATCTGCATCCTGCACAACCTCTCCTACCGCCTGGATGCTGAAGTTCCCAACAAATACACCCAACTCAACCACATGGCCCGGAGCGTTTACATGGACAAAACCCTCACAGGCTGCTTCAACAGCAGGAGTGGCAAAATGGAGGTAAGACATGATGCAGAGGGCTTGGCAATGTGCTCCTCAGCTCCCAGCAGGGACTGCAAGTGAGGAGCCGGATCTGAGCTTCCAATGTCTCATCTCTTTGCAGAATGATGAGTATGGTGTCCCTCTCCCTGAAGAGGATTTTAAGCCCAAGGGACCCAGCTGGCTGTACCACTCGGATGCCATCCGCACCTACCTGTCCCTGATGGATCACAGCAAGAAAGATGCCACCCTAGAGGCTTGTGCTGGAGCCCTGCAGAACCTCACTGCGAGCCGAGGGCTGGTAAGCACTCCTCTGCACACATGTGGCCAAACGTGCCAGCCCCTTACAGAGGTCAGGAGCAGAAATGGCCTCCTTCAACCTCAGGGCAGTATTGCAGGGCTTTCCACACTAGATGATGCAGCTCAGGTGCTTATAAATGCCAAAGATGAGTCCTTGCAGAGGCTAAAGTCAGCACTCCAAGGATTTACCCCGGGTCCGTGTGCCTTTCCAGGAGCTCCTCCAGGTTTCAGGATCTGAAAGGGGAAAGGGACAGACTCCATAGCAGTGCCTGTGTGATGGGACAAGGGGAGGTGATTTCAAACTAAAAGAGTGGAGATTCAAATTGGATATAAGGAAAAAGCTCTTTGCTGTCAGGGTGGTGAGGTGCTGCACAGGGAGGCGGCGCTGCCCCATCCCTGCAGCCCCCCAAGGGCAGGGCTGTGAGCACTGCTGGGGTTGGAGGTGTCCCATGCATGGCAGGGAACGGGACCAGATGGCCTCTGAGGGCCCCTTCCAACTCAAACCGTTCTGATTCTACAATCGTACGATTTCCACTCTTGGTTGTAACACCAACATCTGTTGGTAGTGGCACCCTCCCTGCAAGACACCAGTGACTCCAGATGTGCACATGTGGCCAGGTGTCATTCACAGGAGAGAGGAAGGATGTGCACGCACTGCCTGCGTGTGTGTTTGAAGCGAAAGGAGGCCGGAATCATGGGGTGGGTTGTGCTGTGGGTTGTGGTCGCATCACAACTGCTGGTGGAATTACCCTCACAGACAGATGTCCTATAGACACCTCAGTATGGCAGCACGAAGGTGACGCAGGCTGTGATGCTGTGGGCATTGCAGGGGCTGGAGCACGGCGAGTTGCAGTGCCCAGTGTTGCTGCATGTCCCCACAGGCTGTGCTCACGTGGGCAAACCTCGACTTGTCTGTTTGTGTCAAACTTCATCAATTCTAATTTAAATAAGATGGCGAGGGAGATAAGGGGTAATTATTTTGTACGTAGGAGAGGTGTGTCACGTGTGCGGGGCGTTCCACCCAGCAGCTCGGTGTGATTCACTGCTGGAGCCTTTGCTGGATGGCATTAACAGCTCTGACCTGCTGGGAGCTTCGGTTCCAAGGCTTTCTTTTGGGTTACAAGCCTTTCAATGTGAAATACTTTGGGTTTTTTTCTTCTGGTTTAACTAAACTGCCTTGCTAACAACAAGGATGGAGGTTGTCTCAATGTGGGTAGATTTAATCGAAGATGTGGAGCTATTTGCTCCATGGAAATAAAAAGACTTTCATCAGTCAAGAGTGTCTTCTTGGGGGCTGGGAAAGAAAACAAAGAATTGCCCCAGCAGCACTGAGATAACTTGATTCAGCCTTCTGGAATAGGATGGTTGGAACAGACCTGGGTGTACATTAGGGTCTTCTTTCACAGTTTTTGTTCCGTCTCAGAGCTGGAATTGGGGTGGATTGCTGCATTTGTTGGTGCTTAAAGGAGAGAGAAACAGAGGAGAAGCTTGCAAAGCTTACTATAGCCCTTTAGCTGTTATAGGAGGACTATGAACTCTCCTCAGCCTCAGCTGTATACGTCTCAGTTGCTGGCGTGGATCTATAATGCAGTGCATGTGTCTCCTGGCACACAGGAGGGACATTGGGTGTCAGCCCACGCAATGGGGTGCCTCCCAGCCTGTTCCCTCCATCTCCACTTCACTGCTGATGGATGTGTGTCACTCCAGCAGTGTGATGATATCTAATGGCGTGTAGCTGAGAAGTTCAGATTAAACTCTATTAATAAGTGGGCAATTTATTAATGGTATGTGCTTCAAAGTCCAGAGCATTCAGCTGCATTGGCTACGCCCTAAGATCTTCTAGACTTACGTAAGCAAACATGAAATCAGGTTCCAAGATGATTATTTTTGTCCTTCAGCTCGTTATTTAGAGGTGTCATTAGCCATTTCTATTCCAAAGCAGCCTATTAGTTGTGGCATGGCAGGGAGCTGAGCAAGGGCAAGTGGACATGAAAGGTAAAATTTCTCCTTCAGTTGAGAATATTGGTTAGGAGATCCCTCAGGCCTCTAGAAAGAGGACAGAAATCCCTGCCATATGACAGAGGATGAGAGGCTGACTTATGGAGGAGTAAATGACAAAGTAAGTGGGATTAAGGCAGGAGAAAGTGTGCTTGTTTTGTAATATGGCCACGTATGTCCAGACCTGCACATGGTTGCAGGTGCATTCTTCCAGTACTGGAAGTCATGAGACGTTGCTGTTCTGTCTCTTAGATGTCCAATGCCATGAGCCAATTGATTGGGGTGAAGGAAAAAGGTTTGCCTCGCATCGCACGGCTCCTGCAGTCCAACAGCTCCGAAGTTGTCCGGTCTGGTGCTTCTTTGCTGAGCAACATGTCCCGACATCCTATCCTGCACAAAACCATGGGTAAGCCATTTCCACCACAGCAGAGTTCAGTACCATGTCTAGTTTCTACCTCTCTAATATCTGCTCTCCTCACTTTATAAACCCTGTAATAGGACTCAGCCAAGCTCCCACACTGGGCAAATGGTGTCATTTGTTCTGGTCAAAGGACCATTACAGGTGATATAAGCAGGCTTAACACAATGCATGCTCTCTCAGCCTTTACAAGCAGAGGGTGTGCTGAATGGGTAATGATGAATCTGCAGGGTTGGGAGGATGCAGTGCAGATGATAGCATTTGGGGAGCTGAGCCAGACTTGACCCAAATCATTACCTTTCCAGAGATCCTCACCATAGTTCTGGAAACCAACTAAAGCTGCCATGCTGATATCATCCAGCATTATTAGTGCCTCCTTTGGGGAATAACGCTGCATTCTTGTGCTGAATAATGCTAACACAAATCATTTCATCCACCTGTGCTGAGTTTACTTAAGTGTTGATTGGAACATTCCACCTCTTCAGCTCACCAGGTGCTCCCAGATGTATCACGTCTCCTGTCATTCCAGTCTGGAAATACCAACAGCTATGGCGAGATCATGACATCAGCTTGTTACACTCTGAGGAACCTCATCATGTCCAACCCACACCTGGGAAAGTGTTACTTGACAAGCAACATGCTCAATAATGTAGTAAGCCTGTGCCGAAATGGGTGAGTCTGGGGCAGAAGGCATGGAGAGGGTCTCAGGAAATTTGCTGCTCTACTGGGGTTGTGCTTGGCTTGAATGTTCACGTTGGTTCATCTTTTGGTTGGAGCGCTCACCTCACATGGCCAAAACACAGCTGTGATGAGGCGTATACAGATTTTATACGTAGGTCCTCTGGTTTACTCATCTGTACTCCATGGACTTCAACAGCTGAGCGGTCTCAGCAGATTTAGCCACTTTTCCTTGTGGGAATGATTTGAGTTCTGTACCCTTTACAGCCCCATGCAAAAGCTTGTCAACTCTTGCTGAACTGCGTGCTCATTTCTGACCAAATTGCAGTTTACAGTCTTTGACCATATCTCCATTCCAAGACTCTCATCTCTCCTCCCATCTGGCTTTGAAATACCTTGTGCAAGCAGCCTATTGTTTTCTGTTATGAGAAGACATTCACAGGCCTTCTCCATCATCTTTTGACAAACCACTTACAATTTACCTCTTGTTCTATGGCAGCAAGGAGATTCTCAGTCATTACCAGTGGCTTCTCTGTTTAGGTTGGGCCTCAGCCAACAAATATCAGTCACTTCACTGCTTTTATATGCTTCCACTCTGCAACAAGCTCAATTAACACCAAACCCTGCCCTCTTCTAAGTCTTCATTGTTATGGATGGCATTAACTTCTGCCTGAAGTCCTGCTTGGGCTCCCTCAGACCAGTCCTCAGCTCATTACTGCTTCAGTAGAGCGTTGCACAACCAGGGCCATGCGTACCGAAATTGCCTGGGCTGTTCAGCATGATGAGCTTTGTTTCCAGTGACTCACTAACTGTGAGAGTTACTGAACTCCAGAGAAGTCTTCAATGTATTTCTCCTGACGGTGTCACGAATTCCTCCTGAGAAACTCCCATGTGAGTTTGAACTGTTTCCAGATATGGAAGCCATGTCCCTTCTAAAAATTGGAGCTAACTTCTCCCACTTCCCTGTACTTCTCTGAAGGCAAACGGGAAATTTCAGGGTAGCATTTGTCTATTCCTATGTCAGAAAGAGCCTCACATTCCCTGATGGCAGTAACTGGACCCGACAGCTCCTGCAGGGCTGCTGGCGATGCTGGACGCAGACCCCATGCTCCCCAAATCGTGCTGCTGGATTCCCCTCTCCCAGCCTCCCAGCCAGCAGAAATAGAAAGCACAGAACATCCCAGCAGTGACCGAATCCCCCTGGGGAGCACCGTACTGCACTGTGAGCATTTTGCAGAGCTTTCTCTGTTGGTTTGCCTCAGTTTCCCTGCAGACACTCTTGTAGTCACATTTTAGACATAACTCGCAGGCTGCAGATGAATTATGGACGCTTTCCCTTCCCACATTCCTCCCAGACACCAACCAGCACCCCTCAGAATCGGGCTCCCTTCCCCTGATGCTCCATGCTGGCGTATTCTCAGTGAAAGGCATAAACAGTTCCACACTTTATCTGATTGCTGTGGTTTCTTCTCCTTCCTGTTGCATCCCAATTAGATAATTGTCTCAGTCTCCTGTATATATCCTCCTCTATGACACAGCCTTCATAGTGATGATGGCATGTGCTCACGCTGTTATTTTCAATCCAAGTTAGCAAAATACTGCATATCCTAAATACCTCTGAGTTCATTGCTTTCAATGGCTGTTTGGCCAGATTATAATTTTCAGCCACAACATTTTTCTAAGTGTGGTCATTCTGATGACAGAGTATGGGATGGTTATAACCAGAGGAACCATTTTGCAATGAAAGCTCCTTCTCTTGGCCCAAAGCATTGCTCAAGAATTTCTTGCTGTGTGCTGCTCTTCCAGTCCTCCAGGCAGTGCCAGCAACACGATCTGCATCTCCCATGCGGTCATTCCGACCAGATTAAGTGTGGTCATTTCTTGTAGGCTGGAAGATTTTGGTATCATCTGTTGTGTCTTTTAGGGAAATGCCCTGGATTTGCTCATTGGGTTTTCATGCTCACAGGATGAAGCTTGCAGGTCCCACACTGCCAGCCCCATTTCTCATTAGCCCAGTGCACTGTTTGGAGGACGCGTTTTGGTAGAAGCAGAGGACCATAGAATCACTGAAGTTGGAAGAGAGCTCTAAGGTCCCCAAGTTCAACCCCAGCTCATCCCCACCGTGCCCACCAACCACGTCCCTCAGTGCCACATCTACCCTCTTCTTGAAAGCCTTCCAGGGACGGTGACGGGAGCTGTACCATGCTGGCAGCCAGGGAGGTCTGATCCTGCTCCCCGTGACTGGGACAGGCTGGGGCTGTCGCAGGGCTCAGCACTCTCCCAAAGGCAGGACATGGTCCAGCAGATCAGGAGCAGCGATAACAGCTGGCACTGAGGTTTAGATCTGGGTTGTCATATGAAATGTTCCAGAATTATAGAAGATACTGTTATGACTCATGGTTTCGGAGCTGTTACGTGAGCAAGTATCTATTAACTTGTGCTGAGCAAGGACTTCTGGTTACAGTTGTTATTGTGAGCGCAGAGCCTTTCCCTGTGCTGCCCTCCTGAGGGATTCGCCCACAGCGTCCCCATGGAGCCCGCATTGGCACCACTTCACTTCCTCACCCTCCCAAATTTCACACTCCAGAAGCACTTTTTCAGCTCTGTTCTTGAGCTCCGACCTTCCCTTCCTGCTCGTTCTGTTCTGGTCCCAGGGCATGTTGTCACGTAACATTGCTGGGGGAGCAACAAAGGGTTGGACTCAACGATGGGTCCCTTCCAACTGGGAGTACTGATGGTTCTGGGATTTCATTGGCAGTCATCTATCAAGCCAGCGAATGCCCGGCTGGAGGTGGCTCCTGGTGCTGCTTTGTGGCTGTCCATAACTCCTCAATGTTGCTTTCATCTTCCCAGCTCCTGTCCAAAAGCTGCTGAAGCTGCTCGCCTCCTCCTGACAGACCTTTGGTCGAACAGGGAGCTCCAGAGTGTGCTCAAGCAGGTAAGGAGAACACCTCTGCATTTTGGCTGGTGGCACAGCCCCACAACACTCCATGAGGTTGCAGAGATCTTTGTGAGGTTCCTTCTCTCTTTTCTCCCACTTTCTTCTGCACCCATAGCCCTACCCTGTGGTCACATCACCCCTATAGTCAGAATAACCTCTACAGCCCCTAAGAGGAATATTTAGGATTTATTTTACACCCCGCAACAGAAACTGCAGAAGTGCTGGAGAGTCAGGGCGCAGAGCCAGATCCCAGCCCTGTGGCTCGCTTTGAACCAGATGGGTTTTTCCAGCTCACCAACAGCAGCACCTGCACAGAGCAAATGGCTAAATTAAAGAGAAGGAGTAACATCCACAAAGGGGAATTCCCCAGGGGCAGGAAGGCAGAGAGAGCTGGAATATTGTTCTTCTCTTAACGGTGAGGGACTTTCTCCGTGGGAGCTGGTGTAGCTTTGCACTGGTGCTGCCCACTCGTTTTGGTGGGACTGGGTCGTGCAGGTGCTCCTGCAGGTGGTCGTTGCACTGGGTGCACATCAGGGTGGGAGTCTGCAAGCAGAGATGCACCATGCATGTATCTGTGCCATTTTTCCAGGATGGGCAATAAGATGAACTAACATTCAGTAAAGGACCAAGGGAAGATTTCCCCTGGTAGAGCTGGAGGAGCCCAGCAGAAAAGGGAGGTCCATCTGAGAAGGTCCATCCATGAAGGTGACCACTCATGTGTTGAGGACATGAAGAGAGTGGAGGAGTCTGTTTGAGAATGGGGCACGCTTTATAAGGATGCTTTTGAATTGGCCATGGGGGGGTCTTCCACAGCAGTTGATAGCTATCCATTCTGAAAGCAATGCACATTCACTGCTCTCCATATCCACCTGCTTTTTCAGCAAGGATTTGATAAGAACATGATGGGATCTTTAGCTGGGACGACCTTCAGGACTCTTCCTTCCAGATTTTAGGAGCCTCTCCACACACATTTGGGCTGCAGGTGAGAATGGGGCCCTCGTCCATGGGGAAGGGTGGCATGGGGGCACAGAAACTGGGGACAGGGCGAGGGAAAAGACTGAAAGTTGGGTATGGATGAAAAGAAATGAGATCATCGATGCTTTAATATCTGGGTCTCTCTTTTTCTTTGTTTTTTCAGAGATTGGAATTGGTTCATCTCCAGGAACACAACCCGTTCACAGCTCCTTAGGATGTTAAAGATGTGGAGTGTCTGTGAGTTAAACTCAACTGTAAAGCAAACCAAACATACGGATTTCATGTGGATCGTACTGATATTTTTAAGCATTCTCTTCTTTTTTTGGGGGGGGGGGGGGGTGGGAGGGGGAGAAGGGACTTTCATGGAGGTTATAGTTTCTTGATGTCAATATTTTTATTTTTTTGCAAAGAGTGTTTCTGTGTAACTGTGCCCACGTTGCTGTGGTGTGCATGCGGCCAACGCTCACAGCTGGCGAGCAGGGCTGAGTCCCCACCAAAACTCAGTGTCAGCTGTGCAGTTTCAGCCCCTCGCACGTAAGACAGATCCCACCCGATCCATGCAACAAATGCTGCCGCACCAAATTCTTGTCACAACCCATTTTCACCCAGAAGTGCAAAAATTGCCGGTTCGATGTTGTCCCCACGTTGCATATGGCTGTTATCAACAGATACACACAAAACTCTTCTTTAAAAAGGCTGCTTCTTCCTAACATTTACGAACATGGGCTTCTTTCCTGCTTCTGATTTTTCTTCTCCTATGAGCTCTCATAGTTATTAGTATTTCCTCTCCTGCCACCTAAACTCTTTATCTCCAGAAGCAAATTGTTGGCTGCTGATTCTCCCCTGGCACTCAGCAACTGCTCTCTGAAGCTGTATGGACAGTGCTAACACAGAGCACGGTCTCACCAGGTGCCAAATCAATCACTGGGCACTGGAACAATGCAACCATGGGACCATGTGTGGAGAAATACGGCTTTTGGGAAGCTGGAGCCAGGAGGAGGAGCTGGCTTTGCCCAGCGTCACTGAGTGCCAAGAGTGAGGGATGTGGCCTTCGTCATCAGGCTTTGTTTGTACCAAGCAATGTAACGAAATAGCAAAAATGGAAAAGCATGTGAGAAGTGTGAGCTCGGAGGCACAGGGGGAGGATCAGCAGAGGATGCACTGCAGGGGCACAGAGATGTGCAGATGTGGAGGGTGCAGGAGGCGCCTGGGAAGGATGGGTTACAGAGCTGAGTCTGGGCAGGGAGAAGCAGTCTCGTGTTTGCAGGGTTCAGGAGGGTTCAGCTCCTCGCTTGGTGACAGCTGGCACATCCCATTGACCTGGCAGGGTGACTTCAGCTCTGCTCTGGGCAGCATCATCCCCACTCAGAGTGCAGGGCGCAGAGTGAAAGGAGCGCCAGCCGCTTCTCTCTTGGCCTACAAAGGGCGGCTCAGCCTTGTGCACTTTAATGAGCAACAGCTATTTGCTTGCATTCACCCACGTTCAGTCGAGAGCTTTCTGTGCGGAGCTCCCAGCCAAATGAAAGAGCAAAAAGCACCTTTGAAGTGGAGAGCTGGAACCAGGCGAATCCGGTAGGACAGTTTCAGGAGCATTTAAACAGCAGCGGAGGAGCCCAGGCCTGTGGGCATGCCCTCACCACGGCTGCCAGCTGTTGCATAGCTGGTGCATGCCCTCATTTCATGGTTCAGAATGTTTTTGGCAGGACCCAACTCTATGGACATCCAGAAAGGCTGCAGTGTCCACAGGAAGGGTTGTTGCAGTTTGGCTTTAGGATTACGCTGCGTGCAATTTTGCATTCAGATTTGTTCCTGTAATTACACGTTAGGCAGAAGTCCTGGGAGCTAATGTTTTTCCCTGTAAAATTAATTGGGAAAGCTAACTGCAAAATGTAATGATGGAATATTGAGGAAATTCATTCTAATTGACTGTTATTTGAGCTTTATTCTAAAGCAGTGCTGCTGCTTTCACCGGTAATGCAATTTACAGCAGCACTATGTTAGGCACAAAGAGCTGCAGTAATCATCCCACAATTAAAGTTACAAGTCCTGGAGGTTTCGTTACAAAGTACTGAGCTCAGAGGATTGGATAGATCGTTCCCATCAGTGTCAGTGACGTACAGCAAAGCTGACCAAACGACACAAATTAAAACTGTCTCCATCCTTGGAGATCTCATATAGAATCACGGAATTGCTGGAGCTGGGAGGGACCTTTGAAGGTCATCTGGTCCAACTGTCCTGCAGTGAAGCTGATCTTCAGCTCTTGGCTGCACACAGCCCTGGATGCTCTCCCTGCCCTGAGCTGGGAGCTCCCTCCAGCCTCAGTTTCCCTACAGTGCTGCAGGTTGCTGCTCTCATACCTCAGAATACAGCTGACCCATGAGAGCAGGGCTGAGCTGCGGCCCCTCTGACACCCCTGGGCTCTTTGCAGCTCTTTTTCCCCCCGAGGAAACTCTCTGATACTCATCTCTATTTCCCTCTCAGTCTCTCTGTGTTAAATCTGGACTACAGACTCTACCCACGTAGGTGAAGTGACGCTGATGTCTGGCAGTGTAAGGAAAACCTCTGCTGTTGCTCATACCCAGCGGTCTGGGGACCTTCTTTTCCAAACCACGCTTCTCCCAGGGGCAGAGCTCAGCACCAGGATGCTGCTTTCACTTTTTTCCACCAATCTTCTTCCTTCAAGGGAGACATTGCTTCATAGAGGCAGATCTTTAGCTGAGATATGCTCCTTGCTGAGCTGTTTTCCTGTTTTTTCCCTGTGTAAAAGGCAAGGCAGGGTGGATCTGCAGGGATACAGCTGGGGCAGGTCTGCAGGGCATGGGTTGGAGTGATGGGAACTACTGAAGAGGGAAGGACCACAGCGAGCAGCACCCTGATCTCTGCCAGCAGCAGAATAAGAGCAATTGGGGCTTGATTTGTGCGCAGGACACACAACCATGTAAATAAATACCACGCTTGTTTGTCCTGGGCTTAGCAGAGCTTTTTGGCCTGTTTTCTCTTAAGTGCTTTATTTGTTTCGTGTATGTACAATCCAACCCACCCCAGCATTTCAGAAGCCTCATGGACTGCATGAAAGGCAGAAGGCAGTTTTATTCCTCTCTGACCACACAGCAGTTTGAGACCACCCGAGCCTGCCAGTCCATAGCTATACAGTGTATTCTGTAAGATATAGGTATGTGAGAATAACGTATCAGAGTTTTGTTTTGGCTGTACTGTATGTATTTGCTTCATTGGAAAAGCTGGAATCAATAAAAGTTGCTGGAATTTCTTCAAGCCAATTGTTGCACGTGGGTTTATTTTGGTTGTCTGGCTGTGAGCTTTCTTGGGGAGTCACCATCAGTTACCACTGCAGTCTGGAGGTCTATCTGTTGATTTCACCACTTGGGTGTCACTGGGATGGGACTCTGGAGTTCCCTCCAAGCAGTTGTGGTCACTCCAAGGCCATCATTTGCATATGCTAAGATTATTTCACCCCAAATGCATCACCAGCACTTTTCTATGCTGGTTTCTCTGTGTCATTTAGCACCCATTCCTTATTGGTCTCCAGTTCACTGGAGTTTCACACACAAACATCACCTTTAGTCCTGAGGCACACGGAGATGTGTGGATTCTTCATGCTAATCAGGAGCAAATTCAAGGCTGCTCTGGGGATTTCCCAGCCTGCTCCAAGGAACTGCTGTCAGCAGCACTGAAGAGTTTGGTCTCTGCTTTGCATCCTGCAGCAGCTGTAACCTGGTGTGGGGATTAAGGGACGCACAGAAGACACAGTGCTCTCCGTGCTGGGGAGCTCAAAGCCAGCCAGGAAGCAGCACTCTCTTGATCTCCATAAGATGGCTCTTCAAAGAGGAAACCTGCCAAAGGGAAGGTGATCTCAGCTACAAAGCGTGTTTAGTTTGTTTACTCGTGGCACGGCTTAGGAATGATGCTCAGCCCTGACCAGTATCTTACAAGAGGATTCGTAGCTATCAGACAGGCTTGGCACATCCTGCAAATCCATGCTCAGGAAAAGGGGAGGACATCCTGCCGTGCTCAGAGCTCCCCTCTGGAAGCACCCTGTGCCGAGACCTCTGAGGGGTGGGAGGACAGCAGGGGACGCAGCTCAAAGGCAAAGCCCCGAAACCCAAACTTCTTAATCAGTCTTGGATGGATCTCACACACCAACACTTAGAAACCAAAATTGCATTGGCAACCACCGTCATTCCTTACTCAAGCTGCTTCTAGGCCATAGTGCAGCAGGCATGTTTCCAGTTGGTTTTGGATGGAGTGCCTCAGTAATTGCCTTATAAAAGCCCTTCTGAAGCAATGTATCCAGAACTCCTTGAGAGGATTAATTGTCAGTACCACACGTAGTGATGGTGTCCATTCCACAGCTTTTTCAGGTACAAACAGCACCTGCAGGCACAGCTGAGTCCAGTCATATAGGTTACAGGCTACAAGAGCAAATAGTCTTCTACATGATGCATTACCCAGTGTTTGGGTCTCTCTCCATCCATTTGAAGCGTATAAAGTGAATACCAAGAATCTTGAAAATGCTTCCATTTGGGACCAGAATCCTTCATACAAGCACACAAAAGAAGCTCATTTTCAGGCAGGTGTAGTGGCAATGCTAAGTCAGGGATTGAAGCAGAGATGGAGCACTGGTGGGAAGGCAGGGCCAACCCAGGGCAGCTCAGGCACGTGCAGTGCAGCTGACTGGACGGAGTGGAGCCAGGATGCATCCCTTCCCAGAACTCATTTAGGGGTTGGCAGTGGAGACGAGGGTATTTCACTGGAGATCCCTGCATATCTGAGGACATCTGAAGGTAAGCAGCTGCTTTCCTTTATTTCTGTGCCTGCAGCTGTTGCATTTGAGCAAATCCTCCCTTGCTGCAGCTCTAGGATCTTGCTGTTCTGCTGCCATTGCTGGGCTTTCCATAGCGTTGCAGCAGGGAATCTTGTAGATACACACTGTTGTGCTCAGAGCGTTCTCGGGCCTGTGGGATGTGTTCCCCACAGATCCCAGGCTTCCCCCAAAATGCTCCACTGCCCCAGGTCATCTCCAAAAGCCCAATTTGGGCTCATTAAACAGCCCAGAGATCACACTGCAGAGCACACCGAGCCTCATCCACACTTCACAACAGCACAAATGACCCGGTGGTGCCACCACCCCATGCTGGAGCACAACAGAGCTCCCCTATCTTGGTTTCCCCAAGCAGAGGCACTGCTGTGGCATCCCAGTCCCACGTGGCACGCTCCTCCAGGACACGTGGTATCCTGTACCCAGAAACCCTGCTCCATACGGGCCCGGTGCATGCAGAACAG